ATATATAACATACAAAATGGTAAGCGTAGACATACATAATGACCTACACACAGGTGTACAAAGAAGCATGAACATATACATACGTATACATAAAAGACAAAAAAATACAATCACGCGCTCACACTTAAACAAAATCACACACAACCACACACAAACTCCATCACATAAAGCACAGCACGTACACAGTCTTCTTCCCTACCCCTACGCACAATTATTTCTTTGTAAGTACGTGCGTGCATGCTCTCTCGCGCGCGTGTATCTGAGTCTGTGAGTCTATGTGTGTGTGTACGTGTATGTGTGTGTGTGTGTGTGCGCGTGTATGTGTGTGTGTGTGTGTGTGCGTGTATGTGTGTGTGTGTGTGTGTGTGTGTGTGTGTGTGTGTGTGTGTGTGTGTGTGTGTGTGTGTGAGAGAGAGAGAGAGAGAGAGAGAGAGAGGGAGCGTAAAGTCGAGAAAACCCGCGTCATTTATCGATCGTTTCCACCTGGGACCAATTACCACAGGTGAGGGCGTCCGCCATTTTGGACATGACTATGACCGGTAGATTTGGCGGGAAGTGTCATAGGCCTACATTTTTCATCTACAGGAGGTCCATTATATGTAGATCACCGTAGGCAGGTATGCGGGCATCGTTATTGTCAAGCTTAAAAGAAGAAAATGATGTTTGTGCGTTTGGTTTGGTTTAATTCGCTCTACGAGACGGACTCAATCGATTAAGAGGCACGAAGTTAAACCGGGCCAAGAAAAAAAAGACAATCGATTTTTAAAGTATTCTGTCAACCGTTTTACAATTTGTTATCCACAGTTATAGTTTTTAGTATGTTAGTCATATTTATATTTAGCAAAATTACAAGATATATAATTATATTTTCTATCACCTCATATACACTACAAATTTTGAGGTTCCAATTTTTATAGATATATTTGTACATATGTGTGTGTGTGTGTGTGTGTGTGTGTGTGTGTGCAAATGTGTGCACGTATGTATGTCTGTGTGTAGGAACGCATATGTATGTGTCACTGTACTGTACCTATGCGTGCGTATGTGCCCTTACAATACATATTATAGGCCCTGGAAATTAACACGCACACTCATGTTTCCCATTCAGTCATTTGGTCATAGAGTCAATGAACCTCGAGAAGTCATGAATACAATGGCATCTGGCCGATGGCGCTCAGAGGATAGGCTTATTAATAATGCTTATGAATGCATTCTGGTGTGATTTCCGTCACGAGAGAGAGAGAGAAGGAGAGAGAGAGAGAGAGAGAGAGAGAGAGAGAGAGAGAGAGAGAGAGAGAGAGAGAGAGAGAGAGAGAGAGAGAGAGAGAGAGAGGAATTCTAAGCATTTAAACTTTGCTTCGTACAATATTATTCATATGCAAGATAGCTCACAGACAAATACACAGAGAACCAGACATTCTGATATATAGACAGCCATTCATGATATATACTTACACAACCACAAGATAGGCAGTTACACAAATGCTTATACACACACACATTTATAGACATATAGATAGATAGATAAGTATACATGTGTGTATGTGTGTGTGTGTGTGTGTGCATATTTACAGACAAATGGATGGCCAGACAAACGGGCAAAGAGATACTAAATAACTATGAATCAAGATGGGGGGGGGGGGGTTAAAATATATTCTGTATTTACTGTTATAAAATATAACATTCGTGATGTAAAAATAGGTATTCTCGTTCTTTCTAGCTATCTATCTCTTTATCTGTCTATCTCTCCTTCCCTCCTTCTTCCTTTCTTCCCTCCCTCCCTCCCTTTCTCCCCCTCCTTCTCTCCTTACCTCCTCCTTCCTTCTCTCCTTTCCTCCCTCCCTCCCCTCCTTCTCCCCCTCCTTCTCTCCACCCCACCCCTCCTTCTCTCCTCCCCTCCTCCCTCCCTCCCTCCCTCCCTCCCTCCCTCCCTCCTTAGCTCCTCCCCCCTCCCTCCCTCCCTCCCTCTTCTCGACCTATATTCTTATCAATATAAATCTTTCAGTATCTTCATGGCAGAAATTCTCTAACTCGACCGTCGTATGTATGGATTTCAACCCTATGGGGAATAAACATTTTGATGAAAAGGAGGCGGATAATGGGTTTTTGGTTTGTGTGTGTGTGTGTGTGTGCATACATACATACATATATACATATACATATTCACAGAAATGCACCTTTGTGTGTGTGTGGGTGTTTGTGTGTGTTGTGTGTGTTTGTGTGTGTGTTGTGTATGTGCGAGTGTGCATATATGTCAGTCTTGAGTAATTATCATTGTTATTATCATTATTGATCACAATCATTATTCACTCGTAATTAATGAGTTATCACTATATTCTCTAAATCAATATTTCATTCATTTATCATATACCCATCTTTCTTTCTATTTCTTTCCTTTTCACTCTAACGTTTTTTTTTTTCTCTCTCCCCTTTTTTCATGTAAATAGTTCATCCGCAGAAGTTAAAATCCTCCTGCCATTTTTCTGACCTTTCTCGGAAAAGTCTACCTTGTCAGTCGATATAATAACACGTTCTCTCTGCAATACCTTAAACTTTAGAACTATTATAAGATTTGTTACATGCGTCTGGCCTGGTGTAGGTTGCAGAATAGTTGTGTGCATAATGGTTTTTAGTGTTATCTTTTTTTTTTTTTTTCTTTTAAACTTATCATCACTCTGGCAGCTTTCGAAAGTTTTGCCATCGGGTAGGCGTCGAATTTTTCTTACTTTGACGTATGGAGATGCCTTTCGCAAACCGACGCCGTAACTTATTATTGTTTTTTTTTTAACGTTCTGAGTTATCGAAATTCATTCCGTAATGTCGGTTTGAGATTTTAAAAGTTTCAATACAGTCACGATATGCAGGAGAAGTGATCTTGTAGACAATTTTACAACCTTCATTTTCAGTCGCAATGTCTTTCCAACATGGCCACCGGAATTTAGAAAACAAAAGCGCATCGCAACACATGCGATTCAAGCACAAAGAGAGAATTTTTGCTTCTCGCTTTTTGATGTCAGTCTCTTTCTGCCTCTCTCTATTCTCAAGCTTTTTCAATCTCCCTCTCTCTCTCTCTCTCTCTCTCTCTCTCTCTCTCTCTCTCTCTCTCTCTCTCTCTCTCTCTCTCTCTCTCTCTCTCTTCCTCACGTCTCTCTCTCTTCCTCTCTCTCTCTCTCTCTCTCTCTCTCTCTCTCTCTCTCTCTCTCTCTCTCTCTCTCTCTCTCTCTCTCTCTTTCTCTTTCTTCTCTCTCCCACTCTCTCTCTCTCTTTCTCTCTCTCTCTCTCTCTCTCTCTCTCTCTCTCTCTCTCTCTCTCTCTCTCTCTCTCTCTTCTCTCTCTCTCTCTCCCTCTCTCCTTCCCTCTTTCTCTCCCTCCCTCCCCCCCTCTCTCTCTCTCATGCTCTGAATCCCGAGGGCAACTCTTTTTACTAAACTGAAAAAAATGTCTATAATTACTTTGGTTCTTAAGTCCCTTACGGCAATTAATTATTCTTCAGCTTAATCACGGTTTTTAGCCTTAATTATAAGTCTTCTCTGTGTTATTACTGCTATGGTAATTGTTATGATAATCGTGGTTGTTATTATCATTATCATCGCCATCATTATCATTATTGGTGTTATTATATTTGTTACAATGACTGTAATGATAATAATGACAATCATGATAGTGATTATGATAACAATAATAATGGTAATGATAATGATAGTAATGATGATGATGACAGTGAAAATGATAATGATAAAAATGGTTATGATAGTGATAAAAATAATTATGATAATAATGATAATAGCAACAATAATAATGAAATCAATAAAAGTATTAATGATAATGATAATAATAATAATAACAATAATAATAACAATAACAATGATTATGATAATAATGATAATAATCATGATGACAATATGAGTGATAATAGTGATGATAATGATGATAATGATATTGCTAACAGAAACAACAATAAGGACAGTGATTATAACAAAATGAAAAGGGAAAATAAGAATAATAGTATCTATAGTGATAATAATAATGATGATAAAATGATATTGATAATTATAATAACGATGGTAAAATAATCGTAGTAGTTATAGTAATGGTAATAATGATAGATATAGAAGGATAATGATAACGAATATAGAATGATAATGGTAGATAATATAATAATCATGATGACAATATGAGTGATAATAGTGATGATAATGATGATAATGATATTGCTAACAGAAACAACAATAAGGACAGTGATTATAACAAAATGAAAAGGGAAAATAAGAATAATAGTATCTATAATAATAATAATAATGATGATGATGATGATAATAATACTAATGTTAATGATAATAGTTATGATAGTGATAAAAATAGTTATGATAATAATGAGAATAGCAACAATAATAATTAAATCAATAATAGTAATAATGATAATAATCATGATGACAATATGAGTGATAATAGTGATGATAATGATGATAATGATATTGCTAACAGAAACAACAATAAGGACAGTGATTATAACAAAATGAAAAGGGAAAATAAGAATAATAGTATCTATAGTGATAATAATAATGATGATGATGACAGTGTAAATGATAATGATAAAAATAATGATAAGAAGAAGAAGAAGAAGAAGAAGAAGAAGAAGAAGAAGAAGAAGAAGAAGAAGAAGAAGAAGAAGAAGAAGAAGAAGAAGAAGAAGAAGAAGAAGAAGAAGAAGAAGAAGAAGAAGAAGAAGAAGAAGAAGAAGAAGAAGAAGAAGAAGAAGAAGAAGAAGAAGAAGAAGAAGAAGAAGAAGAAGAAGAAGAAGAAGAAGAAGAAGAAGAAGAAGAAGAAGAAGAAGAAGAAGAAGAAGAAGAAGAAGAAGAAGAAGAAGAAGAAGAAGAAGAAGAAGAAGAAGAAGAAGAAGAAGAAGAAGAAGAAGAAGAAGAAGAAGAAGAAGAAGAAGAAGAAGAAGAAGAAGAAGAAGAAGAAGAAGAAGAAGAAGAAGAAGAAGAAGAAGAAGAAGAAGAAGAAGAAGAAGAAGAAGAAGAAGAAGAAGAAGAAGAAGAAGAAGAAGAAGAAGAAGAAGAAGAAGAAGAAGAAGAAGAAGAAGAAGAAGAAGAAGAAGAAGAAGAAGAAGAAGAAGAAGAAGAAGAAGAAGAAGAAGAAGAAGAAGAAGAAGAAGAAGAAGAAGAAGAAGAAGAAGAAGAAGAAGAAGAAGAAGAAGAAGAAGAAGAAGAAGAAGAAGAAGAAGAAGAAGAAGAAGAAGAAGAAGAAGAAGAAGAAGAAGAAGAAGAAGAAGAAGAAGAAGAAGAAGAAGAAGAAGAAGAAGAAGAAGAAGAAGAAGAAGAAGAAGAAGAAGAAGAAGAAGAAGAAGAAGAAGAAGAAGAAGAAGAAGAAGAAGAAGAAGAAGAAGAAGAAGAAGAAGAAGAAGAAGAAGAAGAAGAAGAAGAAGAAGAAGAAGAAGAAGAAGAAAGATGAAAGAGAGAGAGAGAAGATAATGGAAAATTTATAAGACACGTGCGTAGACATTTTTTTTGAAGAGT